TTCACACAAGCTACGCAGTGTGAAACCCAAATAATAATCCAAACAAAAACAATAGTGTTTCACACAAGCTACGCAGTGTGAAACTCTAATAACAAAATAAACAGTTAAATCGAAGGGTACATTTTAGTTAGGTCAGGTAATGTGGCAAGTTTAATTATTAATTAATAGAGTGGTTCTTTTCTTATCTGCAGAAATGAGAAATTGCCCAGGTTCCGTATTTCGAATGTTGAAGTTGTACTTTATAACTGAATTAATTTTAATATATTAAGGTTTCGTAAAAAGTATGGTTTGATAAATTGGTGACGCAATTTATTATAGTTTCACCGAATAGTGATATTAATTTCTTTTTTAAATAATGCATAATTTAATTCTTACTTCTATATTCATCAATATGGCTGACTTTATACTATTCATTGATTTAGATTTTATTATTTTGATTTAAACCCCTTAAAGTGATTGCCCTAAGCAAGAATGGTCTTGACTGTACTAATATAATCTTTGAGGTGCCAACAGGCTTATTAGTAGAAAGCTCGAAATAAAGATTAATACATTTAACAATGCAGTCAGATCAGTGCCAATCAAGTGTCGACGCTTTTAATTTTATTTACGGCTTAAAGCTTATTAACTAATTCTATATGTTATTGTAAAACTTTTAGCCAATGAAATTTATATATTAATTTAACTTCTTTCATTTGATTCGTTAAAATATTTTTATCCCTAATTTTATCTTAATCTGATTTGTTGAAATGATTGTCTTTTTGTCTGTATGCAAATTAGTTTGTTTAAAAGACCCCTACACAGACAGAAGACAATGATGAAAATATACAGTGAGATCAGATGAGATAAGAGATAGGGTTAAGACCTTTAGTAACCCTTTGATATGCTCTTGTAAATAATGTATTTTTAAACTGTATATAAAGTAATATTGAAATGGATTTGGAATTGGACTTATAATGCACAGTGACCACCTTCACTAGAATACTCCTCCACGAATGAGCTATAACACCCCCAATCCTAGCTCATCCATATGTATGAAATATTACATATGTATCACCTGGGTGCATATTCAAACGCAGAATAGCCCCGACAACGTTGGTGATAATAGCAAGGGCAGCTTAAAATAAAATGAAATTTGTCTTCTATGTCGTTCAGATTACAAAGTGTGCGCGGATATTCGGATTTTGCTTATAGTTTTAAGGAAAATAGATTTAACGCTTTTTTTTCAAATAGCTCTGCAGCGTAAAGTTAATGGTTAAATGTTGATAAATTATACCTTTGGCGGACGATTTTATTTTTTCCATATTTTCTTGGGCAAAGATATCATATAACCTATTTTTTATAATTTGGAACGTACCATTTACTAATATTTTACATTAATAATAAATTACTTTTAAACACTGAAAATCACCGGAATTCACATTGAAAACATATAAACACCGGAATTCATTTTCAAAATATCTGAATTCGCACTTCAGACAATCGTACTCACTAATATTTTACACTAATAATAAATTATTTTAAAACACCGGAATTCACTTACAAAATATCTGAATTCACACTTCAGACAGTCGTACTCACTAATATTTTACACTAATAATAAATTATTTTAAAACACCGGAATTCACTTACAAAATATCTGAATTCGCACTTAAGACCTTCGTATTTACTAATATTTTACATCAATGAAAAAATCACTTTAAAACACCGGAATTCACTTTGAGAAAATTGGAATTCGACCCAAGACAATTGTATTTACTTCTAATTTGCATTAATATTAATACTACAATGTATCTGCTGTAAAACGATATTTCCAGATGGTCAACTTGGGGAAACACAATATGATAAGAACACAGCAGTAATCCATATAAAATGTCAAACCAAACATTTCTCGAATGTAGATGAGCTAAGTTTATTCGAAAATTAACTTAGTAATAAGCCTAGTAATAAGCCAATCAAATAAAGTCTCATCAATAATGGTTTGGATGTTTTCATAGATAATCCGTTGTAGCATGAAGCAGTCCAGATTAAATGAAGTGTCAAGTGTAATTGTGAGTTGTCTTGTGCCACTAACACAGGGGTCACACAATTTTGGCTTAATCCTTACTGATTATTCCTTAAAACAACACTGACGTGTTCGGTAGTTATTTTAATAATTAATTGCAGTGGATATGAAGTTCAGATTTATGTTTAATCTGTTTGTTAACAGGAACAGGAACTTACAACATTGTTGTTGTTGAAATCTGTAATAAACAACAACAATCACATTACACAAAATACTGACATGGGATTGTCCGGACATAAAATGATATAAATGGTTCGACCGCATTTACCAACACCTCACTTGCAATTATTTCTATAATCATTGCAAATCGTTATCTTTAATATCTTTAGCAATCCCGATGGCTACTCGTAGAAAGATTAAATACTCAAGTAGGGCCTTTTTTTGGCCTTGTGGTGTGTGCAGGCGAGATTGTGAAAAGACTAAAAGTATCTTGTGCGATTGTTGTGGTGTATGGTTCCATTATGATTGTGAAAATTTGACTGAGTTGGATCACGTGGCTAAGTGGGTAGGGCGCTGACTCGCTAGTCTGGAGGTCGGGTGTTCAATCCCTGCATTGGCCGAGAAAGTTCATCCCGATTTTCCGGCGTGGCTTCCCCTTGTCAGTGATGCAGGACGGAGGGTCTGACAAGAACAACTGTCTAGTCCTTCGGATGTGACGAAAAACCGAGGTCCCATGTACACATTGGCGTGCACGTAAAAGATCCCTTGACAGTTGGAATTCGATATAAGAGTAGGCCGTAGCGCCGCTGCCCGTGCAAAATTTCCCTCATAGCACACTGTATGGCGTATGCCCGTCTTCATTAGCCCAGTTAGGAGCAAAACAGTAGGACGTTAAACCCCATTTCATTTCATTTCATTTTTTTTCGACACCATTCGTCTATTCCCTTCAGCTGCTTGTCCTGTCATTTTGATGGAATATCAAGTGATACATATTGTTATTCATCTGGCATGAAGAGATTGTCTAAGGTAAGTCGTGCTACCAATCGGATCGGATCAAAATTGTAATCTCTAAAGGGTCCACAACCTTGATTTACAAGGGGTGGCCATATTGTCCAGCAGTCCTGGCCCGATTTTCATGAAATTCGAAGTCAACAAACATTACGGTGTAACGGTGATATATTCGAACGTTTTTTCAAATCGAATAATAATTGTGACCTCTAGAGGGACCACAAGCTAAAAATGCTATTTTTCGTACAACCAGAGGCCATAATTCAGGAAGTTACGATCTGATATGCGCGAATATTGAAAGGATTTGAGATCTTTGAGTTATAAACTTGCATTTCAAGTTTCATCAAAATCGGATCAAAATTGTGGCCTCTAGAGGGTCCATAACTTTGATGTACCAAGATGTTTACACTATTTGCGTACGAAGGGCGGCCATTTTGTCCGATACATGCCAATTTTGAAAGGAACCGAGATCTTGGGGAGATAAACCTATATTTCAAGTTTCGTTGAAATCGGATAAGAATTGTAGAGTGTAGAGTGTTCACAAACAATTGTGGGCATCCGGACAGGGGCGAAGACAATATACGTCCACATGAAAATGTGGGCGTATAAAAACACCCTGACAGACATTTCTAGTGGTGGGGAACCTCTTCCATACAGAGTGTTTTTGTAATACCTGAGGATGTACGGTACACTGCTGTACGATTTTCATGTGGTACACTTTTGAGCTAATCTAGCCTAGTTGGGGGGCATTACATTTTGGGCGTGGAATACCACACCCACCACCAGAAACCCAGAGGACTTATATTCTGATGATACCAGATATACATGCATTGATATCATATAGGAGAAAATTGGTACACTTTTCAGCTACGCTGACCCCTTGGGCAGTTTCATTTCGCTTTTTCCGAAATTCGAATTCAACCTTCATTATGGTGGAATGGTGATGTGTTTAATCGGTTTACATTATTTGCGTATAAGGGGCGGCCATTTTGTCCAGCAGTCCTGGCCCGATTTTCATGAAATTCGAAGTCAACAAACATTACGGTGTAACGGTGATATATTCGAACGTTTTTTCAAATCGAATAATAATTGTTACCTCTAGAGGGACCACAAGCTAAAAATGCTATTTTTCGTACAATCAGGGGCCATAATTCAGGAAGTTATCGTCTGATATGCGCAAATATCAAAAGGAACCGAGATCTGTGGGTTGTAAACATACATTTCAAGTTTAAACCAAATCGGATAAAAATTGTGACATCTACAGTGTTCACAAGCTAAAAACATGAAGTTACAGTCCGATACATGCCAGTATCGAAAGGAACTGAGATCTTAGGGTGATAAACCTATATTTCAAGTTTCATTGAAATCGGATAAAAATTGTGACCTTTAGAGTGTTCACAAACAATTGTGGACGGACGGAGGTAATGACAATATACGTCCACATGAAAATGTGGGCGTATAAAAATTATATTCAGGGTTTGAATAAAGTCCAAGTAATTTTTACCGTATAAATTCTATTATTTGTTTACTTGAATTGAAATTCATATGAAAATGTTTTAATTTATTGAATACTCACATTTATTATCATTGGTGTTGATTCAGTCAGCCTCCGCGTGGTTTTAATCTAGTTACAAGGTTTAGATGGACTAAACTCCAGGCCAATAGAATTAGGGGGTATTGATCACATGGTCATAAGTGATGTTTTTATTGGACTAGAGGTAAAAGCATTTAAGGCGAGGTGTATGGCAGCGGGAACATTCAAATAGTGTAAAAAACATGAAAATGGGAAAATAGAGAGTTACATGCTTTTGACTTCCGAGCGACGATATACTCCGCTCCATATGTACGGCTGTTTCAAAAAAATATATACAGTAAAGAGTCGATCATTTACACTTGGAAGCAACAGACGCCCTTGATTTTTTTAGTACAAATATCAACAACCAACGAACTTTGTCCTCTTATTTCTTTCATGAATGTTTAATATAAATACCTGAAGTGACAACATCTTTTCTCTTGCTACTGACACAAATGGTAATATAAATAGTGCTTTACGCTTGTATTCCATAACTTGCTTTAAGATCAGCAGTTCTGCAACCATTGTTTTGCCAGCACTTGTAGGTGCGGAATAAATTAAATTACCTCCACCTGAAACATTATTGTAAGCAAAATTTTTTATTTACAGAATTTACCAGCGGCTGCCAGGCAGGATACCCCCACATTTTCGAGAGATGGATAGAAAACAAGCTAAAACGAAAGTGATTTTTCCTACAATGAAGGGCCATAATTCAGGAAATTACAATTCGATATGCGCAAATATATCGAAAGGAACCAAGATCTTTGGGTTATAAACTTACATTTCAAGTTTCAACAAAATCGGATAAAAATTGTGACCTCTATAGGGTCCACAACCTTGATATACCATATTTTTACGCAATTTGAGAACGAGGGGCGGTCATTTTGTCTGTCAGTTTTGGGCCGATGTTCACGAAATTCGAACTCAGCTGTCCTTAGGGTGATATAATAATGAGATTTTTTAAATCGGATAAAAATTATGACCTCTATAGGGTCCACAGGCTAAAAACGTGATTTTTCGTACAATCAGGGGCCATAATTCAGGAAGTTACGGTCCGATATGCGTGAATATCTAATGGAACTGAGATCTTTGGGTTATAAACTTACATTTCAAGTTTCATCAAAATAGGATTAAAATTGTGACCTCTATAGGGTCCACGACCTTGATATACCATATTTGAGAACGAAGGGCGGCCATTTTATGTCAGTTTTGGGCCGATTTTCACAAAATTCGAACTCAGCCGTCCTTAGGGTGTAACGGTGATATAATAATACGATTTTTTACTATCGGATAAGAATTATGACCTCTATAGGGTCCACAACCAAAAAATGTGATTTTTCATACAATCAGGGGCCATAATTCAGGAAGTTACGGTCCGATATGCGGGAATATCGAAAGGAACCAAGATCTTTGGGTTATAAACTTACATTTTAAGTTTCAACAAAATCGGATAAAAATTGTGACCTCTATAGGGTCCACAACCTTGATATACCATATTTTTACGCTATTTGAGAACGAACAGCGGCCATTTTGTCTCAGTTTTGGGCCGATTTTCACGAAATTCGAACTCGGTCATCCTTAGGGTGTAATGATGATATAACAATACGTTTTTTTAAATCGAATAAAAATTATGACCTCTATAGGGTCCACAAGCTAAAAACGCGATTTTTCGTACAATCAGGGACCATAATTCAGGCAGTTACGTTCCGATATGCACGAATATCGAAAGGAACCGAGATCTTTTGGTTATAAGCATACATTTCAAGTTTAAACCAAATCGGATAAAAATTGTGACCTCTACAGTGTTCACAAGCTAAAGACGTGATTTTTTGTGCAATCAGGGGCCATAATCCATGAAGTTACGGTCCGATACATGCCAATATCGAAAGGAACCGAAATCTTAGGGGATAAACCTATATTTCAAGTTTCATTGAAATCGGATAAAAATTGTGACCTGTAAACTGTTCACAAACAATTGTGGACGGACGGACGGACGGGGGGGCGGACGGGGACGACGACAATATACATCCACATGAAAATGTGGGCGTATAAAAATGTGTGTTCAAGGGTGGGGAAGGCCTTTTAAAATCTGTAGGGTCCACAAACTTCGTATCTCTAGAGGGTCCACAACCTAACAATACCATTTTGGCACAATCTGGGCCAAAAAATCCTGAAATATCTGCCAAAATGGAACCCATCAGAGATCTTTGGGATATGTATTGGAGCCATCTCACTTATATTTTGTAGAAGATAGGTTGCCAGGCAACGAAACATACGCCCACATTTATAATACACTAAAATCTGATTAAGAGTAACAACTCATTAAGTAATTATCAGAAAATCATTAGAATTTGTTTGGTTTTTATAAAGTTCTGTCCCATGCTAACGTTTAGTATACGAAACATTTAATATCATAGATTTAGAAAAATTCATTGAAAATCAATATACTTGTTCGTCTCAAGACCTTAAACTTGTATCAATATGAAGTCAATCGGATGATAACTTGAGCCTCTGGAGCGTCACAAGATTTTTCAAAGTGATCAAGGGCCATAACTTTGGCAGTAATTATCGGAAATTGTTGAAAATCAATAGGATTAGTTCTTCGTCTCATGACCTTCAACACTGTGTATAAATTTAACTTTGACCTCTAGAGCGTCCACTAGTGTTGAAAATCGGATCGAGATTTGTGATCTGAATACTTTTGTTTGCTATCCAAATACTATTCGTCGGATAATTCGGAAACATGAAATTCTTGAACAAAATCACATCAAAAGTTCATATACTCATAATTTCTTACTTATTTCAATGTTTATGAGTGTCTGTGTATGCCGAGTATGAAATCTTACTTTCGATTTTCAAATTGTTTGAGCCGCGAAGAAAAACGTGCCTACCTTTAGCCGCAATTATCAAGACTATCCATGATATCAAAAAAAATCAACGAGGTGAATAAATTTGTGTATAACTACTCCTGTAATCTGCGGCCCTCCCACTTATCATTTTTGCTCAATCAACACGAATGAAAAAAGTAAAATAAAAACATCTAACATTTATTCCACCAAGGTCGTTTGCCTCATTCTGATAATCTACTGCTATTGAACCAATAGTAAGTGAGAATATATGTGACCTAGGTCGTTATGAATAAATTACACTGTGGGAAGTCTAAACACAGTGTTAACTTGTATCCTGTAAACCCAAGAAGAAGCTTCTATCTAGCGTAAACCAGCGCGAGGAATGAATGAATATTTTTTTATTTAGACTACTATTATTGTTGCACTGCATTAATATTTTTATTAGTTACTATCGCTAAATAATGCGCGTGATATTAACATTCATGCTCAAAGCTGTGTACGTGATCAATAGCATTGGGGAAAATTTCAAAGTAATCAGATGTAAAAATGGCTAAATATAGAGCATAGGGAATGTCAGAATATATTGTAGCAAACGGATAGTAAAATGATTCGGATAACCCTTATTTTGTATCTGTTAACGGATATCCGAATAGTAGTTTCAACACTAGCGTCCACAAGATTTTTTGAAGTGATCAAGGGCCATAAATCTGGCAGTAATTATCGGAAATCGCTGAAAATTAATAGGCTTTTTCGTCTCATGACCATTAAACACTGTGTTCAATTTCCCGAGCCGTGATTAAAATCTGTCAAGGTGTCCAATTACACAAGGTGTTCAATTTTGCTGTCAAACATCTAATTTCATGTGCGATGTTCAGATATTACGATGGGTTTAGTGGTTGGTCATCGTTCATTTTATTATTTTTCAGGATTCATACGACGGCAGGTATCGGTACAAACGTCGTGAAGGGATGACGAAATAAGATTATCGTGTCGTTTTTTGTTGAAAATTGCCACGATAACGCCCCGATAAATAATTCGGTGTAGCAGTCGCTATCGTGTGACACAACAGGCCTCGGTGTAATTTTACATGCAAAATTAATGGTATTTGTTTGTCATAAACAATCGATATCAAAACGATATACTGCCACGATGTTATGAATGTTGAATATTTTCGTTAATAATACGTACGCGTTAGTCCACGTTGTATAGGGAGAACACGCGTGTTCACATATTCTGCACGATATATATATGTGGTTATATTTCCAACCAGTATGTAAAGCTGCATGTCTAGAACATTTTAAAGGACACGTATGCATAAGACTATACATGTATAACACAGTTTAGATATTTATGCTGTGTTCAAATTGATTTGCATATTTACTGTTTTAAGAGTGTATGGTTAAGAGTGTATTGTTAAGAATTACTCTTGAATTACGGCAAAGATAGACTTTTTAATTGCAAACTATAAAGGTATGTTGGTTATCGGTCTTACAAATAGAAATAAGACATAAATAGAACTTGCAAAGGGATTCGAAAGTGCTTTCAAGTCAGATGTAAGCTCATACTTACCGTAAAAATGAATTGAACGCAACACAAGTCTCCAATGTAAGAGAATATTAGTTAATTATGACCGCTATCAAATCCACACAAAAATCCAAGGCACTTGTTTTATTTTAGAAAAGAATAACTGTATTTCAAGCGAAGAGCCTATTCCACATGAACCCCAAATCAATGATGAACTGTCAACTTGTTATGTAGTCATTCATGTGCAGATTGGTTTGAATAACAGAAATGTCCCGTGTATAAAAGATCAAAGAATAAAATTGCACATAGCCACTTTGTTTATCTAAAAGGGGCTCCGGCGCACTTTAAGAAATTACTTTTGACTCAATATTAACCATCGCCAATTTTTTTAAATCATGGGATAAAGTCAATTAAAATACAATACGGGTCTACTTTATTACAAACACATTGGTGAACTTATCATTTTGTCTAAAATCATAACGCTAATCAACAAACAATACTATTGTTCTTTATTACAAAAACATCGGCGAATTAATCTCTGTTGTTATGGCGAGCCAAGCTAGTTGATTTTTAGGTAAATAAAACAATATAAACAACCAACGAGTAAAACTGATTTATTCCAACCAATTTTTATACGAGTCAAGTATTACCTTAACTGTGTACAGGTTTGCTTCTGAACGGGTTAACTGACACCCGTTCAACTTGTAAATTCCAAATACAAACTGCTTACCGTATTCATGCCATAGACACTAATATCCTAATTTAAGAAAAACGTTCCGTTTCCAATAATTATCACCAACACAAATATTAATTTTGATTGTTTTATCCATCAACACACAGAGTGACAGAGAAAACACATCTAAGAACCAGATCTTATGAATTCGGGCCTCTTCAATAGTTATAAAGCATATCAAAGAGTGAAGAATAAATTGCCTAACAGAAAAATCATGCTTTATAAGTTGTTAAAGGGGTGTGGGGCTATTTAAGGAATGACGTTTGTGCACAAGACAATGAAATAATTACCACCGGTAAACATCAGTTTGTTCAGAAGATGCTCTGCATGCGCGAACTTTCAAGTACGTACCGATTTAAAAAAAATTAAACAATCTCACATGTCCACATTCCTAAAAACAGGAGTTTTACCGTAACACAGTAATCACAATAACTCGTTACAAATTGGTATTACATGTTACAGGTGG